TAATTGTCCTCGTAGAGCGTTACTAGGAGAATATAGCCCTTATAGCTAATCTCCTTTAATAAACGAGCTAAGGCAACTACTTCCTTAGCCCCTAGTATAGTAAGCTAAATATACTTAGCTTTAGTTAATAATAGTATAACGAGTATCTAGCGGCCGGACTTATACAATAGAGGTCTGCCTATAATAGTAAAGTAGAAACCGCCTATAGAGCGGCAAGTAACTATATTATTAGCCTATAAGGCGTTATAGTATCTAGCAAAGTTAAGCTTATCGTTCTATATGCCCTAGAAGCGTATACTACGACTAAGGGTACTAACTAGGTACTTAATTAGCTAAAGGAGTACGGCATAATACTCTTTAGTTAGGTTAGAGATAAATCGTAATAAATTAATAATAGGCCTGTAGTATAGCAAGTGTTAGGTCGTGTAATTATAGCTAGCTATAGCGCCTTACTAATTAATAACGTAAATAGTACGCTTAGTACGATCGCGAATAATACGTATACCGAGACAGTAGTAAAGGCTACTAAGTTCTCGTATATTAAAGCGGTCCTTTAGCAGCTAGGCAACGACTTCTAGTACTAATAGGCTATAGGCAACAATAATTATATTATCGACGTAGATAACGATAATCGAGCCGCTAATAACGTATTTAAACATATATACGTTAGTTATTATCTATATAAAATCTAGGTTCTTTAAGTACTTCCGAAGCTCTTTATACTATAGCACTAGTAATTGCTTTAGACTATATAGTGCCTTTAGCAATAGGCAAACTATGCCCTTGCTACTACGGCCCTTAAAGCCGTATAGTTGTTTAACGTAGATCTTATACTTATTACTAATAAGGGCGTTAAGGAAGGCAGTTAGAATATCGTACTACTTAGCTTCTAGGTTATAGTATGCAATTAGGCTAAGTAAGGCCCGAAGGGTATATAGCCTAGTAATAGCTATATATATCTCGTTATAGTCCTAGCCTTTAACTTATATAAAGCTACGGACAGCCTAACGAGCCTTAAATCGGCTTATATTACCGTTAGCATCTCGCTTAATAGTAAAGACCTACCGGCTACGGACAACCTTCCTGCATTCTAGTACCTCTAACCGAGATATATAAACCTATATATAGTTGTTAATACAAGGACCTAAACAGGGCCGAAGCAAGCCTAGCTATCCAAATTAGATCTGAACACATTGGACTCAGATCTTACCTGTTTAGAAGAAACGTCCTAGGAATTGAAAGCAGGGCTTGCTAATATAGCTACTAATCTTAGAACCCTGAGTATATGCTACTAGTCTGCCCTTAATAGTTAGAAGGCAGAAGCGATTAGAGACTAAAAGCAATAGAAAGGGAATACGATAAGCTAATCTAGAGCAAAGAAGACCTAAAGAGGATAGTAAAGTGGATTATTAAATAGGGATTTATACAACAATTCGCACTAGCAAGGGAAACTAAGGAGTAGATAAGAAGGAGGGAAGAAGAGGGGGAAAGAAGGGTAGGGCAGTAGGCAAGGTAGTTAGAGGGTAACAACTATAACACTAGTACACCCTAGAGGAAGGAAAACAAGGAAACGAGGAAGATCAACACTTGTAAATAGGATAGGAGGGAGGTTTTTACTAACTAAGTTGGTTTCCTACCTAAAACAATATATAGAAACAGACCTACATAGGCCGAAAGGCACTATAACAGGCAAATGAAATATCTATCTATCTATCTATCTATATAGTTGTTAATTAGTAACTTGTATTTAGCCTCGTAAGCCTCCTTCTACTATAGCTAATATAGCGACTAAGTCGCCTCCTTATAGCTCTTTAGGATAGGGATAGTTTCTTCAGGCTTGTTAGACTACTTAGCAATATAGTAGGAGGCTACAAAACCTTTAATATATGCTATTAGTATATTAGCTATTATACGTCGAGTTAACCGCCTAATACTACAATCCGCTAGGCAGCTACGTAACAGTTTACGAGCGCTCTTATTACTTCGTATCTTACGTATAGAGCGGCTACTAACTATATCTAGCCGCTTAAATTTAGGTAACTATTGCAGCTAGGCTCGCCCTTCTTAGCTTCTAGATTATATGCTAGCTATTCTTCTTTAGCTAACTAAAAGCTATCTTTATTAGTACTTAAAGCTAGCGGCTAAACGTCTAGAAGGTCGTCGTCGATTAGTAATAGATTAGCGACCTAATCGGGCATCTACTAAGCAGGCTCGTCTAGAGGCTCTTCTTGCTAAGCTAGAAGCTGCTAGACTATACTAGCTGCCTTAGCTAGTAGCGGAGACTCGTTAGTTATAGAATTAAACAGGGCCGGTATAATAGACTTAAGGGTAACAAACTCATTCTTAGACAAGTCGTTAGAGTTAGTATATAGCTTTATACCCTCTAGAAGTAGGAGGTTACCCTATAACTTAACAAGCTAAATATCTTTAGAAGTAATAGCCTTATATCAATTAGGCAGATAAATTATATATTTTCTAGAATCTATAGTCTATAGAGCTATTAATATAGCTAACTAGCTTGCTAACTAGGCCTCTACTACCTATCTTCTTTCTACGAGCGATACTATAGTCGTATACGATAGCAGTATAGCTATATATACGAAGGTGCTAAAGTCGAAGCTACTTTCGAGACTAATTAAACTTCTTAGCTATAATAGTATAGAGGCTATTACCTTCTAAGGTACTAGGAGTAATGTTAAGGACTAATATGGTAGTAGTAACTAGATAGAGCTATAGAGCCTTTAGAAGGTTAGCCTATAGCATTATCTTTCTTATAGTCGTATATACGATATAGTTACTAACCTTAGTAAGGCTATTCTAAGTCGAAGAATAAGGTATAGTAATCTATAGTATAATGCCCTTATCTCGAGCCTAACTTAATAGCTAATTTTCGCCGTATTTACTACCTCTATCGAGGCGGTAGATCGGGATTAAGTAACTAGTCTATATACGGATGTATATACGATAGTAGTTAATTGCTATAGCAGCCCCTAACTTAAGCGTACTAGCATATTCGTATCGATAGCCTAACTTAGTATATATAAATAGTGTAAAATAGCGCTCTTATAATAGGCTAGTGTTAGTAATAGTAACTATATCTATATAGACAATATAGTAAATCGTAGATAGTAGAAGGCGTAGTAGACAGTTGTATTCCTTATAAGCTATCGCTATTCGATAGGCAATATAGTTCCGGAAGTCCTTCTTAGCGCTAGTAATAACAATCTAGTCCTTAGCTTCTACTATTAGCAGCTTTAAGTTGCGGTAATAGATATAGCTATATTATAGATGCTATTCTTCTATCGTGCCTATTAGCACCCCCTTCTTCGATAGAAGCGTAACTACCTTACTATCTACACTAGAGGTTAGTATATATAGGTAGGGGAGACTATTCTTTTAGTATGTCTAAGCGATAGTAACCTCGTTACCTTCTACTATCGTAAATAGGACACGCTTATTACTACGGCAGAAACAACCCTTATTAGTAAGCTTCTTAGTAGATAGGAGGTTAGCTACTAGCCTAGACCTAGTATATATAGTATATTAGATAGCTTTATACTACTTATACTACGCTTATTAACTACCTTAGTCTAAGCTATACTAACTATAGTAGCGTGCTTTATATTGCTACTAAACCGGGTAGGGATATAGCAGCCTTCGTATTTAATAAGCAACGAAGGGTCGTTAACTATATATATACTAGTACCTAAGTCGACAACCTAATTAGTAGTACGAGTACTAGTAGTAAGAGCGGTAGAAACGCAGTCGCTAATAGTAACTATAGCGGTAAAGGCGTAATTATCGCGAAGTCTCTAAGTACTTTACTTTCTATCTCGGAAGGCCTATACGACTTCTATATATCGGCGGTACTAGCTAACGAGAGATTCTAAGCACAGTCTTTATACCGAAGTGTAAATATTAAGTACTTTCTATCGCTGTTAATAATAAGCTACAACCCTAACGAGTTAGATTTACTAATATAGCTCTAATTCTCGTTATATCCCTAGTATTAAAAGAAGATACGAGATCCGCCTATAGCGAAGATATTATTATTGTTAGGTTCCGGCTAAATATCTATATCGATGTAGGTAATAAAGTCGTACCGTACGACGAAGATTAATAGGATCTACTAACCGTACGGTCGAAAGCCGATTCTATATAAGAGGTGTCTATACGCTACTTGTTTAGATACGTTTAGTACCTAAGCCTAAATATAGACTTAGCGAAAGGGAATATAATTAATACTAATCGATAACTATATAGCTTATTAGCAAAGGATCGTAGAGTAAATAATCTATTCCTACGTATATAGCGTAAATATAAAAGGAGATACTTGCGGCTAACTTTGCTTTTAGATAAGCCGGTATTTAGGTAGTATATATACGCCGGTCTAACCGTCTAAGTAGAGCTATCTTACGTATAGGAGACGACGTCGATATTACCGAGCGCGTTAGCCGGCCTATCTCGCTAGCTATACTAGGGTTACTAATAACGCCTATTATCGCTAATAGAGAAGAGGCTAAGGTTAAGTAAAAGATCTCTATATTTACGAGGAGTAAGCTCTAGTAACGTACGAATAATTATAAATTAAACTTTATAATCGATATACTTATACGCCTACTAAGCGAAATTCCGGCCTATACCTTATCGCCCTCTTTTAAGTATTTACTTAGCGACAAAAACTAGACTTTAATAAAGAAATAGACGAAGAAAGAGATTCTCCGAGCTATAGAAACAAACTCGTAGAGCTTTCTAGTATCGCTATAAACAGGCTATTAGGGCACGTAACTAGACGCTAATATTTAGATAGACTAAGTCGTAGTACCCTTAAATACTCCGAGTCTTTACGCTATTTGTTATACGACTAGGGAACTATATAAGCCTATATAATTACTAAGAAGTCGTCGTCTATACTAGGCCTAAGCAGCTCGCTATCCTTCTACTAAATAAGGTTGGCGGGAGACTAGCTAGATAGAGCAAAAGTATAGCGATAAGAGGTCATGTTCAATTGCTTCAACTGGCCAGTACCCGTCTGGCTTTCTACTCGGATCATTCCTGCTGCCAGACAAACTGCCGCCGCTCGAAAAGCTCTGTACGATCTTCTGCTGTCATGGTACCAGTCTGGTGGTTTGAAGACAGCTTCCGAGGAGATGAAAGCAATTGTGACTGTCTTCGAACGAGCCAAATCGCCCCCTGATGTCGGGACCAAGTTTCTCAATATGATGATGATCGCCTTTTTGGCCAATACGCCTGAAACACTGGGCTGGCTCATGATGTATCTTGTTCAGGCTCCGGAGCTTTTCAAAGTCATCAAAGCAGAATGTGATGCTCTGGGCGAGTCTTTAGTCACCTTGAACTTCAAATCCGCAACACCGCATTTGTACTCGGCATTCTTCGAGACTTTTCGGATGTATGTCTTCACAGGAACACCGGCGACAGTGACGAAGCCATGCACGCTGCCTGGTATGGGAGACCACGTCTTTCAGCCTGGTGACATTTTGCACTCTTTTGCAGAGGCTTGTGCGATGGATGTCGAGATATATGGATCGGACGTTGAGTATTGGAAGGGCCATCGCTTTGTTGGTGAGGGCGAGGCTTTGTTGAAGTACGATCTGACATTCGGACTTGGACGAAGCCGTAAGTATCGAAATAACTGTGATAGCTCTGCCAGTACTGACGCATCTCATTTCATAGCCTGTCCGGGTCGCAACTTTGCTATCATAGAACTGTGCATGCTGGCGGCTCGCATGATCAAAACCTTCGACTTCTCTGATCCCTTCATCAGCGAGAAGCTCAGCTTCAAAGACCCAGACTTTGTGGTGCATAAACCTGCTGAGGCAGGCAAGGCGAAAATCATTGATCTTGATGGAAGCATCAAAGAGGTCCTGCATCCTGGCAACAAGAGCGATCAAGGTCTTCCCGGGATGACAGCGTCGAACATTCCTTTAAACGACTTTGCTTGCAAGCTGACGCCGCGATGCTGAGTGCCTGGGCGGAGAAAGCGATATGCTGCTTACTGTCTATCAGATCTTCTGGTGTGCTATGGCGCTTTGGTCTCAAATGAATCCGACGATCTATTTCTCCTTATAGATATACTCACTGTCCAGGACATCCTGTATATCTCTCAGCGTCTTAGATCGTTTGCACAGGCAAATTATCATTGAGGCCGGGCTGATAAGCATCGAGTAGCAACAAGTCCGATGGATGTTTGTTCGGACTTCGTAAGTGGGGCCATATCTGAAGATCCATGATTATGCATCAGAAATGAACAAGTATCGTGTCAAGTAACGGACTAGCCATTGATTCCATCGACCAAGTAACGGATCGATGGAGATCGACAAACGCAAACTGGTATGCGGGGGCTGCAAAAACTCACACAAGCTCTTCCCTTGATCAAGTTACATCGATCTCACATGCTTCCAGGCATTTTTGGCGACGGAGAGGTAATGTAGTGCTGGATAGACTGTGCCAAGTTGCTGGTAGATCATATACGATCAAAACTCGCCAAGCCATCATCCAATCACATCGTCGCTTTAGCTCACTTGGGAGAGCGCCAGACTGAAGCCTGCAAACTTTGGTCCAACGCACTGTGCGGTATCTGGAGGTACTGTGGTATGTAATCGCCTCGCTATGATATATGTTACCACGTCTAACCAGTAATAGTTCGATCCACAGAAGCGACAATCTTTTTTTGTCCACTAGATGTGTTCTTTTGAACGAAAAATCCAATTTTTCCAAATTTCGAAAAACGCCAAGACTTCACATCCGAGCCTTGCCACGGCGGGTATACGGATTGCACACTCTTCTTTTGAGCATAGTAGGCTTTTTCAGCATCGTAAAATGATCGTGTGTAAATGTCGCTTCCTCAAAGTGTTGTGTGGTTGTGCGTGGATGAATAGGCTTCGGATCATTCATCCGCACGCAGCAAGCGCCTTGGACGTCACCTCCTCAAACTTGAACCCATGATTAGCCTACCCATCATCACCATCTCAACAACCTACAGCATAATAACAATGCACCCTGGGCGGTCGACCGATCATCATCATCATCATGGACAACCCAGGTATCATACCAACGGCAGCTGAGCGACTGAACGCTGCAACAAGATGAAGACAACAATGACCTCGTCCTGAAAGCCTCAGATCCATCTGGACAAGGCACAAAACTACCCAGCCCGCAAGCAAAAAGATGAGAACAACAGAGCTCGAAAAATTATCATGGCTGGCGTCGAGTGGTGCGCAACTTCAGCCCGCCCAGGTTCCGCGTTGACGATGGCAGGCTGGAAGCACCCAAAGTCCGAGACATTTCTCACTTTGTATGGCCACTATCCTCTACCCCTTTCATAACTAGGAAAAGCAGACTGGCTCTGAGTTACTATCTCTCCATCGGATTCTTCATGCTCGTCATAAGCGTCATGAGATACATACAGCACAGGATGTGGCCGGAGATCTGGACAGTGATGATGCGTAGGAAGATACGAGTAACTCCCTGTTCTTGGGCACGATACCTTACCGATGGGCTTCGCTACGATTATTGAGATGTGGAAGTTCGTGTGTGTGTGCCGGCTTGGGGAAGTTCGGCGCGGATTTTGCTTGGGTATTGTGGATTCTGGATTCGATTGTTGCTGTGTCTGTCACGGTGGGTCTGGGAGTTCAACGACTCGCTCTGCCAAACCCTGCCGCATCGCGAGGTCATTGTGAACTGCTTTCTACCTCTAGGACCGCTTGGCTGATCTCATACTTCGGAAAAGTCGCCAAGGAGCTGTTTACAAGAAAAAGCACCATCGATCCTATGGCTGGTTCAGTCGCGTGCCTCTCGATCGTATTGATCATGTGGGGCTAGAATATGGCTTGATCTGGTTTGCACTGGCACTGGCAAGCATTCACAAAGCCAAACTTTTTTTTTGTTTTTTCGTTCAACATGGACCGGTGGGGTTTCACATTTCCATTATGCGTATACTGTGCTGATCGGGGAAGAGCTTCCTTCGCGTTTCTTTCGAGAGTCCTGGGCACCATTGTTTTTTTTTTCGGAGTCTGCGCCATCTTGCTCTGGATCTACATCTTCACTCGGATCCGGCGTGGAAGGGAAAGATGATCCATGCACCTTGTGTGGCCGACTTGAAACAAAAAGACGAAGACGCGATCACAGAGTGTTCGGAGCAGATGACAGCGAGCCGAGACGACGGATGCCGAAGGATACTGATCGTCATACATACCAAAACAGCTTCGTCCAAGATGCCAAGGACGCGCGCGAAAGCTGAGCCAGCTCAGCCTTGTCCTGCTTACCGGTGAAACACTCAAATCCTCCGTCCTCGTCTCATTTTCATCCTATCTTACATATTCTATTGTCTCACCAAGCGGAGCGAAGGCATGTGATGAACGGACATATAATTCAACCCGATCACCCTCAACACCAGTGCTGACTACCCAACTGCCCAAACAAGGGAAAAACAAAATGTCAAAAATCGCAAAATTAGAGTCACCACGTGGGCACTTTTAAAACGTGGTGCTAGGTGCTAGGTGCTAGGCAAGGATCCTTGCGAAGTGGAGGACAACAACAAAGCCAGCCAACAGCTACAACAATTATTGTCATAGACCATGCCTGTTGTTTCAGAATTTCGTTCACGGCAAAATTTTGAACTCGGCACCTTGAATCTCGAGCTAACTTACCTTACTTACCTCAGCTAGGCAGTCCAGTCCACGCTAGACGTCTTACTTCTTTCTCCTTGATGATGAGACTGTGATATCAGGAAACGAGGCTGACGAGTCTTTGTGATGTGTGATGATATTCTTCGTGTTAGGTAGTAGATAGGTAGATCGGTAGAAATGTCGCGCAAACATTACCATTACCCATGATTCCCGTTGCTCTCATCAACATTCATGCCTCCAGTGCTAGGTATGCCATGCAAATTTTGTCCACACGCATGTCCAACACATGCCCACCCTCGTTTTGATTCCTCAGTCAATCTTTTAAAAGATGCTCCTGCCTCTTCCGTCGACGACGAACTCTATGCGCATTCATTCCTCATCATCATGTCATATCAATATTGTGTATCGACCCCTTTTATCCTTTCACCTTCGTGAACTCCATCTCCATGAGCCCCTCGGCGCTTGGCCTCTTTTCATGCTCGAGCTCGAAGGTTCTCCGCAAGAACTCCTTTGCATGCTCAGAGGCCGACTCTGGTAGATCAGGTTTGGCATTGTCGGGCGATGCTCCGCTTCCGCCGATCTTGAAGATGGCCTGCAGTTGTGTACAGTTCGGATGCGGGTGACTTCCTGTCATCATCTCCACCACCAAGCAGCCCAGTGACCAGATGTCGGCCTTCTTGGTGTAAGCTGTTTGGCGCACCACTTCAGGTGCCATCCAAAAGACTGAGCCTTGGAGCGACACACGAGGTCCGCCACGCTTGTGAGGTGACGGGTTGAGCAGCGTGCTTGCTTCCACGCGCTTGGAGATACCGAAGTCGGAGATCTTGACTGTGCCTTTGTTGTCGACTAGAATGTTGGCCCCCTTGATGTCGCGATGGATGATATCCTTGGAGTGGAGGTAGTTGAGTCCCTGCAAGATCTGACGTACAAAATTCGACACCAGTCCTTCGGGCAGTGAGCCGTAGTTGACCAACATAGTAGCCACAGAACCGCCGGCAACATACTCCAAGAAAATGTTGAGGTTCTTTTCATCGCTGTTCGAGCCAAGGTATCGGACGATGTTGTCGTGCTTCAAATCTCGCAAAAGGCTGATCTCGTGCTTGAGAGCCTCGATCATGTTGTTCTTCTTGGCATCCATAGCGGTGCCCGAATTTGTTGGCATCTCCACTTGCTTGACTGCCATGAGCTCAGCCGTGACAGCATGTAGAGCAAGGAAGACGGTGCCGAAAGAACCTTGCCCGATCATAGCACCCTTGAGATACTTCAAATCGTCCCAGCTGTTGCTCTCGAGGTGCGCAATCAGCTCATCATCCGATTCCTCACCATCTTCAGCAATGAATCGCGACAATCGAGAATTGAGACTTTCGCTGCCGCCCTCCGTTCCACCCGGACTGCTGCCCGTCTCGTCAAAGTATGACGTGACAGTGTTGCCCTCAGGATCAGTGACGGCGAAATTGCTGGTGGTGGTGTCAGATCCACTGTCACCGCCGAACGATACATAGCTCTTCCGGTTCGGTTCGAGCGGCGACTCCTCGTCAAGAGGCTCCAAGACACTACTCGTCACAGACTCACGATGCGAATCCGATCTTCCTAGCCGAACCACACTCAGAGGTCGAAGACCAGCCTTCTGCGCCTGCCCTGCTTCCTTTAACCACGTGTCCGCGATCGTAGGTAAAGGTGGTGCATCCTTGAGGCTGCTAGCAACACTGAAGTTACTGGCCATACTCAACGTCCGCACAGCTCGACTCAGTCTTCTACTTCGACGGATGGACATGCGCACCGTTCGATCCATCTCCTCCTTGCCGACTTCCGGGAAGTACGATTGTAAATCCTGTGTGATCAGCTCGGTTGGAGGGCGAGCACCGTAGAAGTCCTTAAGCTTCCTGGCTCTCGCAGATGCTGTCGACGCTGCGCTGACATTCCGAGATATGTTGCCACTGCTCTGCGTGGCGAAGTAGTCGTTTCGTTCTGCTTGAGTGGCAGGACTCATAGGATAGCTTACCGCGGCCAGCGACGGTTCTCCAGTCAGTTTCTCGATCTTCAACTGACTCTTGGTCTTGTATGGCGTCTGCACTTCTATTGCCGGCGGCTCTGGTTGCTGCTGTTCTGCTATTTGTGCAGCAGTCTTCAGCTGTTCGCCATCTGGCTCGCCAGCATGGATCTTTCGAAGGATCAGACGACCTCTTTCTGTGCGAACTGCGTCTTGGCACAACTTGCACAGCTCTGCCTCGCCAAGCCTTCGACAAAAGTTTGGATTCGGGTCGGTGCCATCGAGGACGTAAAAACAGTACGAGCGGAAATGATTCTCGTTCAAGGCTCCTTTCCGAAGTGTCTTCCGAATGATATCTTCAGCCGTCCGGAAACCGTCAATGTTAATGACAGACGCGTTGCCACTCTCGAATATAACGCGAATGAGAGGCTTCCCAGCCGGCAGGGAACTTGCATTTGAATTCAAGTTGTCCAGAGATGGTTGTGCTCGCACGTGTTGCTGGAATCGAGCAGTCTGTGGCGTATCCAGAGGCGTTCTTGCGTTGCCTGCGAATCTGGCGGTGAGAGGCGGGTTCTGGCTGGAATAGACATTGCTGCTTTCCTTTCTGACTCCTTCCATGGGGCTTGGGGCCCCATGGCGCCGCGTTCGGTTCTCTTGGTCCACCATGGGTGAGCTAGGCCGTGAGGATGACTTGCCGATTTGTGCGGTATAGGCGAGGTCGGCTCCGTTGAGCTGTCGTGATATGCGCTTGTCAGCCCTCGAAGTGGTTCCGGATCTGGCTGAATGTAAGGGCCTGGGTGAGCCGGACGATGGCGGTGTGAGCTGTTGGTTGCCATCTAGGGTAGCGAGCGAGTGCTTCAACATTGTCAGCCGCTGGAGAGAATTTCAAGCACTTTGGTAGTCCTACCCTGTTCATGACGCGCTTACTCGTGCGCTTGTATAGATTACTTCGGAATACCTTGGCATGTGTATTAATGCGCACGCGATCTCCAATCTTCTTGATACCCATCTCCTTGAGCGTGGCTTGATCAAGGTCCAGGAGGTTCTCGCCCGTGATATGATTCTTGCGGAAGATTTCGACATATTGCGCACAGTTGATACTCTTCAGCCAATCGCCCACACGCGACTCATCCCAATCCAAGATGGACTCCTTTGCCTCCTTGTAAGATTCACTGAACTCGGACTCGGTCGGTGAAGTGAAGACGCCATGGCCGTTGACACCATGCGGTGCAGGCGGAGCCAGAGGTCGATAGTGCGGCGTGGTCGATGCGGGCGCCATGGTGCTGGCGAGAGCGGGTGCTGGATATGGCGAGCGGGAGGCCAGCGCCGCCATAGTGGTGGTGGAAGGTGAGATGGGTGTGCGCAGTCAGACAAGGGAGCGGTGGTATGGCTGCTTGGCGGACGGTGCGGTGCAACAAAGGATCAAAGAAGGTAGGGTCGAATGTTTGTCAGCGCGATGGCATGTTCAAGCGGTCTCGTCTCGTCTCGCGTCGTCCAGCAGGTATGGGAGAGGGTAGGTGGTAGGGGAGGGAGGTTAGGGTAGGGTAGGGTAGGGTAGGGTAGGGTAGGGTAGCAATATCGCCTCGTCTCCTCCGCGGTGCTCGGGATGGGTGTGCAGTCTGTAGCGCGCCTGGTGCAACGACGTCTCCAGTATCGGTGTGTGGATGTGTGCCTCTAGTCACGCCCAACAACGCCAACAACAGCGACAGCTCCCCGACAATGACGATGAGCAGGGGACAGCGCTGGACAGGCAGGCAGGCAGGCTGTTTCGACACTCGATGCGAGCGCGTACGGCAGTCGGTTTTGAAGGCCAGCGGCCTGCGACCGTCAGACCGAGTGTCGGCGTGTCGCAGTGCGAGTTCAATGTGAAACCGCGAGCACTTTACGCCTGTCCAATGAACGCCGCCGTCCAGCGACGGGCTATTCTCAGTATTCTGGCAGCAGCACGAGGCGTAGCAAGAACAGCTGCACTGGCCCACGCGAAATCGGCCTGTCCAAAGCTGTGAGATATGTGGAAGATGTTCGACGTCTTCACAGACAGAGATGCAAAACCAGACGGGATGCTGTTGGACTTCTTCAACTCCCTACGCTGGTCGTTTCAAGATAATCCCTACACTTCTCTGAACCAGGGGCCTCAGGGCCGCAGACGGCCGTTAGGAGTGCCATAATACGTATGTTTCGTGCACAGGTTTCGTGTGGCAGTCTACAGACACTACTGACGCTTATGATCCAGCCTGGGAAGCTGTCATGTTGATCGATATGGTCAGGACGCAAGTGAGATACAGATCCGGAGTCTCGGCCGGCTGATGAGGCCATGGTTGATCTCCCCGAACAGCTCGCAGAGCCGCAGAGCTCTCACGTCTGCATCTATATGCAGGTGTGAACGGGGCGGGGCGTAGGAAATCCGGTGACGAGCTTCTCTCACGTCTCGAAGTGACTGTTCATTACTGTACTTGTCGCTGTATATATCAAGTCGAATCATGCCTTGCCTGGCGCCGCATCGGGCAAAGCAAACCAGCGTTTGAGAGTTTAGGCTTTGGCAAGCCATCGAGGTCGATACCCTGGGCTGCCATCCTCCAACGCTCCAAGGCTGCTCTGTGTCCAGGAATTGTTGCGGGAGAAACGACCATCACACGCTGCATGCTCACGACCTCCCACGTGACGGCCGGCGCTTCACAAACACAATGATCACAGCACGAGGCTGAATCTCCGACGTGCCGATTAACGTTATTGCGTGCACTGCACTGGAAAGACTTGGACATACATATCTCTCACGCCCACGCCCACGCCCACGCCCACGCCCGCGCCCACGCCAACACCTACCGCCGCCCGCTTCCTGTTCCATATCCTTCTTCCCTCGCATTCGTCGACGCTGGCAGCTGCCTCTAGCAACGCGCAGCGCAGCGCACGCCGTTACAGAAGCCTCCTACGCCTATGATGCCCGCGCCCGCGCCATTGGCCGCTCCATTGCACGCCCTTCGCGACCAATCGACTTCGACACCTACGTAGCCTGTGAGCCTGTGCCATTCGCCTTTGCTGTCTGCCGTCTCCACATCCTGTACGGTGCTGTGCTGGCGGCAGTGTGCCTTAGCCCGACATGGCCGATCGAAACAACACCTCTGAGTCCGTCGACAGCCAAGCACCGCTACACGCTGTCCCTGAATCCATTCATCCTCAGCGGCCCCGCCAGCCACCACCTCCGCCCGCGCCAACCTCAATATCACCTCAAGATTCCTATTCTTCGCGCGCACGAGCAGACTCACGCGCGACCTCGCGACCGCCGCCGCCGCCGCCGCCGCCTGTCCTCCACCAGCCGCAGCAACCTGTCAAGGATGCCGTCAATGCAGCCTTCGACTGCACGCCGAGCGCGCAATTGGACCCGGAAGTGGAGAAGAGATTGATTGAGCAGGTGACGGAGCAGGTGATCAAGAACTTGCATCTCGTCAATCTCTCCACCGCCGCCACTCCAACCTCTTCCACCGCGTCTCAGCAAGCTCAGCCATCACTCTCAACTGCCTCTCGCTCGCCGACGCAGCCCTCACCGACCCACACCCAGAGCTCCACCACCGAATCCTTCCCGTCGCACTTCACGCCGCCCTCGCCGCTGCAGGAGCGCGACGCTTACTATAAGAACAGCAAAGCCTCGTCGCCCGAGCGTGCCCCTTCCGATGCTGGGAGCGTGTATAGCAAGCAAAGCAAGGAGAGCATGAGGAGTTATGGCAGCACCCAATCCAACAAGGATGTGGACATCACCCCGCGTGCATCGCAGCCGGGAATGACCGGTTTCACGTTGAAGCGCAGTAAGACTATGGCAGCACCCGAAATGATCGCGAGCGACACGCTGTCTCGTAGGAGAGGCTCTTCGGAGATGACAGCTCGGCAGCTGAGGCGGCGAGATAGCCGTGGTTCATTTGACGGAGCGTCGCGTAGTAAGCCACGGCCTCCAAAAGTGGATGAGGTGCCAGTGGACAATGAAGAACCTACCATGCTGGAGCAGTATTGGAAGCCACTTTTCGAAACTGACGGAAGCCCGACACCTCGCCTCGGCCAGTTTCTGAGAGGCCTCGCACAGCATCTGATCGACGACTACGAGCCAAAGGGAAGCTTGGTGATTGGACCTAAGAAGATGCTTCGGTTCCTGGAAGAGACAAAAGTGGGTGGCGAGCATTATCCCTGGCAAACCATCTTTGGCGGCAACATGCGTTTCGAATCCATCTCAAGCATGTATCGGAAGCTGCTCTGCCAACACCACTTTATACAAGCTCAGTCGCAGTACCACGAAGCTCCCGCTGTGCCGGCGCTAACGCCACATGGCTTCGAGCAGTTCATGACTTGTCTGATCCAAGCGCACCCGGACACTGAGTTCGAGCGACTCACCAAGGCCGTGAGGGATATGCCCATTTCGAATGCTGATGACAGTAAAGAGCGCTTCCCGAAGCAGCTGTCACGAAGACTGCTACCCCGTCAACCGGTCGTCCAAGCGGAGCAGAGGTTGATCTCCAGTCTGCATCATGAGCCAGATCTTGTCCCTCTGGAGAGAGTCGAGAGGGCCATGCCGCCTCCTCCGCCATCTGCACCACCTCAGACTACCTCCGCGCCACCTTCAGCAGTCCCACCGCAGACCGCGTTCCCAGAGCGAGAGAGGAAGCCTTACTCGCATACAACACAGCAATCGAATGCTGTTGATGATGACGATCTGACTTCTCCGCCTGCAATACCAATCGAACGAGAACGCAAGCCGTACTTTGCGAAAGAAGGCACTGGAAAGCAATACGAACCAGAGATTAACGCCGAGCGGGAGCGCGACAGAGACCGCGAGCGTGAGAGGGAACGCGAGAGGGAGCGAGATAGAGAAAGAGATCGTGCCTCGCGTGAGCCTAGTCGGCCAAATCAAGCTCCTCCTGGACGACCGTTGCGGATGAACTCGGGCTCTGGTGCAGTACCACAAGGATCTTACAATGATGGGACTGGCCCAGACATGCCATCATCTGGCCGAAATGCCCACCGAATGTCGCAGCCACCGCCCGTGAATCCCAGCTACTCAACCCCCAAGGCCTCTCGTCGCAGGTCGCCTACCGCTAGTGGCTATCGAAGTGCTCCAATGGACATTAACCAGATACCAGCCTCAGAGTATGCATCAAATCTACGTGGCCCACCTAGAGATCGCTTTACAGGTGATCCAGATGAGGATGTACTGCGATACAATGACAGCCGAAGAGCTGGAGGAAGGAATGCAACCTTTGAAGACGACTACGGTGGTCGACCTGTACCATCACGCAATGCGCCTCCCGCTCCCAGTGCCGCATATGATTCGGCATTATATGGCTCAGCAGGTCCAACAGCGAGCAGCTCCGGGGGCCGGAATTCCATACCTGGAGGTTCTGAAGACAGACGGCGAACTTGGTACCCAGGCATGGCTGGTACTGATGGCTACGGAAGCTATTCTGGAGGCCAGAATGGAGACAACTATCGTGGCTCGTCGCAATACTAGAAGAATCGTCAGAAGACTTCTGGAAACGGGTCTCCGACAGCAGGTGGCAGCCCAGGGCCATCGATTCTGAAGAATCCACTTCCCACCTCTATACGGAAAAGCGGTATGCGCCAAGAAAGCGCAGAAAGCTTTGACAGCGAGTCGTCGACCGACAAGGCTCGGCGAACTCTCAGGGCTCGCTCTCGAACTAGACACTAAGCATATGCGAGGCTGACATGCTCCTCCTACTCACGAACAAAGCGAATTTTGCGAGACTAGATCACGATACCACGATGACGACGATGATCATGATAATTCGATTCTTGGATACAACGTCAATGTTACAGTAGCCCTACACAACTGGGCACCATGTTCTTCTGCCTTTTCGGTTACACTTGTTGGTTCCCAGATACCCAGAGAAGTTGCAGTTTGCTTGAGACGATTGGATTTGGAAGGCGCCACGACAGTACAATGTAGCATATGTAAGGCAATGACGAAATCTGTGAAGCGTGGCTGAAGATTGTGTATCGGTAACCCCAACTTTTCAATTTGCGATCTGAACGCTTTTGATGATCACATGATATTCGATGTCACTCGGGTACTTGGAGATCTTGATTATTGGACCTTGACGAATGCATGTTATCCGGACGCTACGAAAGACTTTATGCCAAGGGCAAGCGGCACAAAGACGCACGTACACCGTCCGTGGAATTATCCCTGGAAGAACAGATCTGCTCTATAATTGGGCTGGCATGGCACCAAGGATGTACATAGGGCCACCCTGTTGAACTCTGCTATACTTGGATAGAAGTCTGACCGAAGCTCTGACGAAAAGCTGTCGACCAAACGTCACACACAAGACGAATGGTATCACGAATGAGACATCAAGCCAAACATGAGTGGAGACAGATTGATTATCAAACTGACGATGCATCAGATCCGATTGACGTTGTCCTGCTCGACCTTTGCAATTGATCATCGCGATCTTCTATGTCAAGAATGTTGATGTCGAGAACCCTTGTCTTGGATGTCTGCACCCGACGCCTGAGCTGTGCTATCCTGGTCAATTCAGCCGGCGGACCTTTCTATCAGAGCTCATCCGAGCACAGACGGGGAAAGGCGTCATGGATATCCTTCCAAGCTGCGATGCACGGCCGAGCGGTATCTGCCAATGCGAAAGCTTCCGAGCGAGTGTTCTCTATACCACGGCCGAGGTGGCCGTTCACTGCCGGACGGTGGACGAGTGAAGATCACCTCTGGCCCAATGCTCGGGTGTTCGAAGGCAGTTAAGTGAGCCTTGTGCACTGCAGTCGTTGGTCTCATCTTGCCTTCTTACCTCTCCGCTATCCTATACGATCTAATGCAATCACTATCATGACCACTAGCCTGGCTAGAGCAGGCCTTGTTCTACTGTGCATTGCTGAGATAGCAACTACAAAGCCAGTAATAGTACCACGGCAGATCAGAGAAAATGTCAACAGCGCTCGACAAGTCAATCAGACGTACGACTACATCGTTGTGGGTGGAGGCACGGCAGGCCTTACCGTCGCCAATCGACTTTCCGAAAATCCAAATGTGTCCGTTTTGGTCGTCGAGTATGGATACTTGGACAACAACTGGACGACGCTCGTACCATTTTTCGCGAGATTCAACCAAGACCCCAATGAATTCAGTCTCACCTCCGCGCCTCAACAGCACGTTGACAATAAATCCTACAGTATACGAGTAGCATCGACAGTGGGAGGCGGCAGCGTAACGAATCGAATGGCATTCGATAGAGGGAGTAAAGCAGACTATGATGCATGGGAAAGCTTGGGTAATGCTGATTGGGGCTGGAATGGACTGCTACCATACTTTCTCAAGAGCACGAACTTCACACCACCGCAGCCAGATTCAGCAACAAAATGGCATTTGACTTGGAACGCGAGCTCTTACGGGACAAGTGGTCCTGTACGAGTCAATCTACCCGAGTATCAATGGCCACAACAGCCGAGATTTCGAGCAGCGTTCCAGGAGGTGGAAGGTAGCGATATTGGATATCCGACGGAAATCAATGACGGGAGTCCAGTCGGTGTAGGCTGGGTCCCAAATAGCCAAGACTCGACTTCGCAGACACGAAGCGATGCGCGGACGGCATACTGGGATCCAGCACGGTATCGACCCAATCTGCACCTCGTCGTGGGCACAAAAGTCACAAAGGTCATATTCGAAAACAAGACCGCAGCAGGGATTGAGATGATCAGCCGAGAAGATTCGTTCAGAGCAAGAGTACGAGCCAGGAAAGAAGTGATCCTCGCCGCAGGGCCGGTCTTTAGCGCCAACATCCTGCATCGCTCTGGAGTCGGTCCCAAATCAATGCTTCAAGCTGCGGGCATCGATGTCGTCCACGACTTACCCGGAGTCGGAATGAACCTCCAAGATCACCCACTCCTCTACCTCTCCTACAACCTCACAAACAACACCTATCCCGCCCCTCAAGACCTCATCAGCAACGCCACCCTCATGACCCTCGCCAGTCAAGACTACATAATGTACCAATCCGGCCCCTGGCTCCTAGCCCACAGTTCCAGCTCCGCCTACCTCTCCCTCCCCCAAATCTCCCCCACCACCACCACCACCAAAACCCTCCTCTCCGACCTCGACTCCCAAGAATCCTCCACCTACCTCCCAAAATCCTACACCGACCCCCCAAAAGCCGGCTACTGGGCCCAACTCCAAATCCTCAAATCCCTCCTCCTGCACTCCCGCGACTCAGCAATCTACGAAATGCCCTTCAACGGCGACACGACCTTCGTAATCAACACCCTCCTGAAACCCCTCTCCCGCGGAACCATCGCCCTCAACACCTCCGACCCGGATCTCGGTCCTCTCATAGACTTCAACTTCCTCGCCAACCCCGTCGATCGAGACCTCGTGCTGACCATGTTGAACTTCACGCGCACGTATTTCCAGACGCCGACGATGCAAACGTTGGGAGCGGTGGAGAAGTTACCGGGATACAATGATCACGCGACTGCGAATTCGAATTCGACGACGGATCCCTTGGAAATTTTGAAACGCAAGAATCTCATCACGCCGACATCGTCGCAACTTTCTGGGGCTTGTAGTATGATGCCGTTGGAATTGGGGGGAGTGGTGGATTCGGATCTTTTGGTTTATGGGGTGGAGAGGTTGAGTGTGGTGGATTCGAGTATAATGCCGTTGATTCCGAGTTCGCATTTGTGTGCGACGGTTTATGCGGTTGCGGAGAAGGCGGCGGATTTGATTAAGATACGGCATACGGAGTGGATGTATGAGCCGCCGCCCGGATGCACGGATGATGAGCACAAGGTGTCGTGAGGAATGAATGAATGGATATGATGAACGCCATGATGGAATGAATATGAATCGATGATACCCATACCCATGACGCTCGCTGATAGCATTTTTATATCATAAGAATAGACATTAGTTCTCCAGCTCAGGTTCCGATTTTGTCTCTCGAGTCTGTAAGCATAGGATCGATCGCCTTTCTTTCCTCACCTTATCGCTGCATCCCTTTCGACATCAGCACTGACTCCATCCTCCAGAATGGGACTTCCACCCAGCAATCCCACACCTCCTCCTCCTCCACCGCGACCACCGCTTCCACTGCTCTCAGCCCAAATCTCATGGAACTTGATGCTTGCATCGCTTGTTGCGATCACGAGACAGCCTTCCTCTCCCGTTCGATTACCGGACCAAGTCCTCCCTTCACCGTCTGCTCTGTACCTAGGAATCCGACCGTGCTGTGTCGGTCCGCCGCTCGGTCCACCGGGATATGCGACAGCATAAAGAGCCCTCTCCTCACCCTACCAAGGAATGCCGACAACTCTGCGACAGCTGGGCCATGTGAATACGGCGACGCGATATGGATGCTCAGGCTGAGCAAAACCAAAAGTCGCCGCAATTTCTTTCCTCTTTTCGCTCCACACCAAACTCGTGATCTGTGCGTGACAGTCAATTGTCGCCAGACAGGCACCGGACAGAGCGTGGAAGAAATGAATACATCTGTCATTGCTTCCACCTCCGGCAGCGATGAGTGACGATTGCCAAGGAGCGAAAGCGATCGCTTTGACTGCAGCGTTGAGACTGAACAGATGTTTTTCTTGCCCTGGCGTGATGGCAAGAACTTCTCCCTGCCCAGGGATAGCCGAATCGCCAGAAGGATTGCCGTTTCGCACGCTCATAGCACTCGAACTGTCTATGCTACGACGTCGTGAGCGACAGAAAATTTTTCTGGTCTCGAAGAGAAAGAGTTGATTGTCGTTGCCACCAGTGGCAAAGTATTCGCCATCTCTGCTCCAAGCCATGCCACAGACCTGCTGGGAGTGACAAGAGATTCGCGCCAGCAATGTCATGCTTCCATGCCAATCGAAGAGATCTCGCTTATCCTGGGAAGGCCACTCGACAGAGTAATAATAGACGTTTCCCATCTCGTCGCCAACCAGCAGTTCCTCGGTCAACACCATCTCGGTTGGCTCTCTTATCGATGGCCTTTTCGTAGACGTGGGCTTGAAGCATACGCAAGAAATGGGTGCAGGTTGTTCGCTGTTGAAACGTGCTTCTTGATCGCGAGGGCTCCATAACGTCACGCGCCCATCGGCGCGCCCAACCGCAAGGATTGCGCAATCGCCTTCTTCTGAGCTGAATGTTACTGATGTCACGTGTGCTCCAAATGGGGAGGTGAGCGAGTCTGGCACATGCGAGGGCGAAGTGCCACGAGACTCTGACCAGAGATAAACGTGTGGTCCCAATCCAACAGCCAAGCATTGCATGGTGTGAGAGTAGGCCAGGAGTGAGCAGTAGTAGTCATCCCTCAGCGCGGGCGCATCAAGCACGCGAAACGGTATGATAGGGATGTGCTTCGACTTTCTCTTCGGCGCTCTGGAGGGAGTTGATGGCATTTCTTTTTCCCATGCATTGTTACTCCACACCGTCCGGTTGCCACTAGAATCACTGCAGGATCTTCTGCTCGATGAGCCAGCTTGTGACGAAGTGGAAGGAGTGTTGAGACTGCCGGATAACCTCATGTGCTCATCAATTTGCATGGCCACGGCCAATCTTTGGCTATGCACAGTTTCTTCTTCACTTGGAGACTGTCGTCTGAGAAAGTCAGAGGTGTGGTGAGGAGCACTGGTCCCGCTTGTCACGCGACCTCCTCTGCCGTCCGTGATACTGGCCACACCCTCGGTCACAATGGTGCTACCAACGGACCACACCGCCCCAGTGCTGATCGCTCTTCTGTTACTTCCAAGGCCGCCTGGCGTCAGTTGAGATCCGACGGTGTTGATAGGGCGTCGATCTGGCGGTAGTCTGCGCGTAGTTGCAAATCTGTCGTTTGTCCTCACGCTTTGACTAGGAATCGGTCCAAATGGATCCGTGTCACGTCTCGAAAGTGTAGAGCTTGCAGAAGACAGTACAGGCCTCTTTGATATCGCCTTTCCCAGCAGAAAAGACTCTTTCGTGGGAGTGTTCCAGCGAGGGGGAATGAAGCGGTCAGGTGTTTGAAGAACACCAGCCATCAGTCTTCGCTGACGAGGAGTCGCATTACTCTCGCAATGGCGAAGCAATGCGCTTGGATGGCGTTGTGCAGAGAGAAGGGCAGCGGATCTTCTCTCGTCCTGGCACGGAAATGGGAATGCATCTGTCCTGAGCGCTCGAGATGCTTTTGTCAACGGCGTGACATCTTCCAATAGCGCTTGATCGCATGCTGTGGCTGTTTGATGAAACGGCGGGACCGTGAGATCTGGGCAAGTTCTTTCACGAGCAAGCTGTTGGAAAGCTCCCGTTTGGGAGTACTTTCTGCGTGCCTTGGATCTATCCCCTGCTTCAAGAACGTACTTCGACTCATGCTCCTCAGCCAGGTCTGAAGCGCCATCAAGCTGAAAGTCCAGCAACCTTGAGCTACGTACCACGCCCACCGAGGCTTCATACTTCATTGGAGAACTGCATGGAGAAGTCAAGGGCGTTTCTGAATTTGCTGGGCCACTTGCTTCGTCACTGCCATCGTGTGCGCTTGAGATCGGGCTCGCTGTGTCTTCGTCTTGGCGGACAGGAGAGAGCATTGCGGGCAAATGTGATGATCCGCCCCCGAGAACTTCCGGCGTGACTACTCCCTTCGTGCACTGTGGAGAGATGCTGGTTGCTGTCGTTGTGGGGCTTACTTCTTTCCATGGGATAGTGGCCTTTGCGATCAGCAGCTCTTTTGCCGTCTTGCCTGGGAGGCTCTTTAGATTTGCGGCTGATTTTTGAGTTGACTGATGCAAGTGAGTCGACAGATTGATTAAGTGGTGTGTTGGCCTTGGAATTTGGTCGACTGCCTGAGGGATGGGGCAGCGGTATCCATTCCTCTCGTTTGACCCAATGGTAGGGTGCATGTTGACCCCACCCGTATGGCTGGCCGCCGACAAGTTCCATGTGTGTCTCCTTGAGCCATCTAGTGGGCCTATAAGGGCCCCCGGGGTCTGGTGGCCTGGAGTCGAAGGATCGCCGCATGGAAGATCTGCCTGAATGGTTCGATCTGCGTCGTTCAAGTCCTGAGTGGCCTTGCTTGACTCTACGTTGAGCTTTGGTCGACCATTGGTCTCCATCTCTAGGTTTGAGAGATATGGTCGAGCTGTTCGCGTTGACTGGAAGCGCGCCTCGTGAGGCATCGCGGCCTCTTTGGGCAGATGTCTCGTGCTTGGTTCTGTGTCGATGCTCGCGGTTGGAGCTGTGAGCTCCAGTCGGGGTTTCTCGAATAATTGCGGACGCGGCAGCAACGCGGGACTCACGAGAATGGCTTGTCTGCTGTGAGCTTGATCGTCGTTCGATGCGTTCAGCTCGTTCCGAGTGCTTCGATTGCTCTGGTTGCTCTGTGTCCTCTTCCGAGAGGCTCTGCTCCCTCTTCTTTGCCGCTCTCGCCCGCGCCTTCTCGACAGGGTAAGCGACAAGCTTCCTGATCCACTGCTGTTTCTGGATCCACTGTTGTCTCTCAGCCCATTGACCGAAAGTGAATGATGGTTTGTTGGCTCCAGTTGAGTTGCTAGGTCTGTCGGAGGCAGATCGTCCTGATTCAGATGTACGTCTGGACGAGTGCTTGCACGAATGCTTGGACTGTGCCTCAGCCTCGAGCGATGCACGTCCTCTGTGGTCGGTCGATTCTCCAGGGCTATCCTCTCCGTCTGTGTTGGGGATTTTGCTCGTGGCTTTGGGATCGACCGTAGAGGCCTTGCCCGATAGCGGTGACAGGCATCTTCGCATGGCTGACATACTGGAAGCTCGCAAAATTGACCTGGGTCCATGAGATGCTGCTCGTGTGATGGATCTTGCCATTCTCGCAGTTGATGGTCGCTGTTGCTGGGAGTTCTCGACCTCTCAATTTCAGTAGGGCTGTCCTCGGAAAGGTGCAGACTGCGATATGAGGTTGTCGAAGCCGTGCGAGTCCAGGCCTTCGCGCGGATCTGCTCAGATGTGCGTTGCTGACTATTGCGTCTCTCCTGGATGAGCTGCTCAGGGGTTCTGAGGGAGGTGGAGGCGGACCCGGACATGCTCTGACTGGGCGAGGAGTCTTAGACACGCATTTGGCAGTCGTGGAGGAGTGTTAAGAATAAGCAGTAGATGCACCTTGACCAAGGCCTATTCTAGCGTTTCCGTTTCCCGGTTCCGCGGATCCAATTCTCTCGAGTTCTGAGCACCGGCCCAACAAGCAAATGCTATGGAGGCGACAGAGAGGCGGTGGGCGGGGCGGAGCGGAGCGGAAAGCTTGCAGGCGCAGGCGCAGGCGCAGGCACACATTTGCTCGTCCATGGCAAGGGAAGGGAAGGGACTCAAGACCGCGCGTCATGTGGTGGTCGGTCTTTCTGTGAAGAGCGTGCCGAATGATGTTGCCTTGCCTTCGTCTCATTCTCGTGGCTGGCAGCTTCTGTTCGCAGGTTGACGCAGACGTTGATGACGGTTGACCTACCGGTACCTCCTCCCGGCGCATCGCGAGTATCATGGCAAGCAGTGTAGGTGTCGCGGGCAGAGATGCCATCGAGTGCGGTGCGGTGCGGTGCGAACTGACGACGGCGAACAGCACGGCATTCCCCGCGCCGCCGTTGCAGACAAGAGCGAGCGCGACAGGGAGAAGGAGCGGAAGCACATTGAGCAGTACAAGGCCCTCGAGGCTGCGGTCACGGAGAAGGTGGACATTCTCCCGTGCACAGACAGCGAGAGTGTGAAGACATGGCTAAGCAAACATCCAGATCCACGGCGGCGACTACTCCAACGCCACGCTCCAGCTCACCTCGCGACTCCTCAACCAGAACCCAGAGTACTATACCATATGGAACCATCGCCGCGTCCTTCTCCAACATGTCTTCGCCACAGAGCTCGCCGCGTCGCATGAGGAATCTACTGCGCAAGCTGAAGAAGGCGACAAGGCCGCAGCCGAACGAGATGGCATGAGCATAGCACAACGTGAAATCCTGCTGGTCATCAAGGAAGACCTGCAATACCAGATCCCTCTGCTGAAGCAATGGCCGAAGTGCTACTGGATTTGGAATCATCGTCGTTGGCTGCTCGTCACGGCTACGCAGCACGTGCCCGCCCACGCGACCCTCGAGCTCTGGAAAGCTGAGCTCGGTCTGGTCAGCAAGATGTTGGCCATGGACAGTCGCAACTTCCACGGCTGGGGCTATCGACGTGAGGTGGTCGAGAACGTGGAGCGGCTGAGTGGCAAGAGCATGGTTGAGGCGGAGTTTGAGTACACCACCAAAATGATCCAGAGCAATCTCTCCAACTTCTCGGCTTGGCATCATCGTGGCCAGCTGATACCACGATTGCTCCATGAGCGGAATGCGGATGCAGAAGCTCGGAAACATCTGTTGGACAAGGAGCTTGAGCAGATCACCAATGCCTTGTACACTGATCCCTACGATCAGAGTCTCTGGTTCTACCATCAGTATTTGATGTCTGCGCTGGACGGGAAGAATCCCAAGGCTCCCACACTTCTGGAACACGTGACGAATGGAGATCGATTGCAATATCTGGAACAGGAGATTGACAGTGTCAAGGATATGCTAGATGGTGCGGAGGATTGCAAGTACATCTACCAAGCTTTGCTGGACTATTCAAGGCGCTATTTGGAAATTGAAGCTGGAAACAAGAAGGTGACGACGACGGAGATGAAGGAGTGGTTGAATGCATTGAGGAAGATCGATCCTTTGAGAGAAGGCAGATGGCAGGATTTGGAGAAGAGTCTGAACCTGTGATGGCTGCGCTTCGTTGCCTAGCGGTATGAATAAAAGTCAAGACTCAACGATGCTCCTCTATTCCCTCGCTTTGATATATTGAACCCTCCAGAGCACGACAACCTTCGCTTCCCCTCCCCAATATCAGCGTCCTACACACCCTTCGCCTTGTTGAAAGTCCCGATGACGCCTTTCGCCCAAGCAAAGTGTCCTGCATCAGTCCCCAAACATCCCTCTGCCAACTTTCCCGACTCGGGATGATACCAGCATCCATCCTTGGAACTTGCTCTCCCATACCTCCCCGTATTCTGATTCCTCTCAATCCCCTCCCTCCAAGCCTTACAGATCGCGCTCGAATCAATCATGACATTAACCTCCTGCGAATGGAACCAACTCTGCGTATCCATATTCCCACTACCCTGAATCGCAACCTGTTCATCGACAATCAAGAGCTTGATATGACAAGATCTCTGCCGGAAATTGTTATGGATAGGGAGAATCTGATCGGCAGCAACGTAGTAATGGAAGTTCAAATTCTCCTTTTCGGATTCCTCGAGTTGGGAGAAGAGGTGGTTGGCGTTCATCTCGTTCGTTCCTCCTTGGCCGGGGAGCAATTCTCCTCCATCGTTGTAACCGAGACAGACGTAGCAAGTGACTTGAACCCCACCCCGTTTTACGGCTTTGATCAATTCGGGCAAGAGGGGTTTGGCGTTGAGGTCTGGAGTCTGGATGAAGATTGATTTCTTTGCGTTTCGCATTAGAGAGAGCCAGGCTTCGTTTTGAGGGACGAAGATCGAGTCGTTGTTTAGGTTGGCGTACGGTTTGCGTGAGCACATGGCCATTGGTACTGGTTCGGTGTTGGGCAGGGGAATGAATGGGAAGAAGTTCAAGTCATTGCTCCGTTCCGGTGCTGTGGCCTTGACGCTGAGGTTTGTGGGTTTGTTGAGATGGCGGGCTACAGCATCGACGGACTTCTCGGCAGACGAAGGTCGAAGGGTGGAGCGCATGCGGTCAATCTCTTCAGACATCGTGGAGTCGTGATGTGGTTCGTTTGGCATGTGTTCGGGGAGGTCTTTGTCGAAAGGCTTTTCTGGAAGACGAAATTTGCCGTCCGGCTCGAAAAGTGAGGTGAAGCTCTCGAGTTCATACGTTGGTGGTGGTTTCGTGGCTGCGGGCTCCGTGCGGCATGGGAGTGCAGGGTCTAATTCGTTGTGCCAGGAGATGAGAAAGGTCTCCCAGAGCGAGTCAACAATTGGACCTTCGAGGTGTGTCATCATCTCCAGATTGTCATTATCTTGGATGTTATTCGACGAGACGGTGGCTATCTGGCGATCAACAATCATGAATTTGCTGTGGAACGTCCCCAATGCTAAAAGCAAAGGATAGAAGCGTTAGCAGACGTCCTGATAGGAAAAGCGGTTGGCAAGCAGGTGATTTGATTGGCGCTGGCAGGTTGAGACAAGAAGGGCTGCAAGGCGGGAGTGTGCAGGGCGAGGGCATTTGCCCTTGAATTTACTCACGCGGTCGATGAAAATTGACTATGGCAAGGTCCACGTTTGGCATCTGTTCTGGTGGAGGGATTCCAACGCCAGCTGCTTGCCAGCCATTCGAGTCGACGTTTTGATGGTTGTTAAGAACCTGTTGGAATATTAGACGATAACAAAATTGTCACAAGGACAGAAGGATATATATACCTGCTTGAGAGCACCTCTGTCGAACATAATCTTGACTACAGCTCGCTCCCCTCTCGCCCCAGCCCGCTTAGATAGCTCAATCAGCGCATCGTTGACGAAGGTACTTGCGCCAGATTTCTTCCAAAAGTTGGTAGCTAGCAGTACTTCCTTCTTTGCCCGTGCGATGAGATTTGACATATGCCTCAGTTGGTCGTTGAGAGGAGCAATGATGGTCATTGGCACATAGCCAGTGCTGCCACAAAGCGGCGGCGACACACAATTGGCAACCGCATCTCGGTCCAGACACTGGAGCAAGTCGTGGAACGCATGAAGAAACAGCTCGGTTGGTCTCGTGTCCTTGAAGTTGCCGCAGCTTCGTGCCCAGTCAAGATCTGCTTTGATAGAAGTCCCCCTTTCGTCAGGAGAGCGAGTGACGATCGTGGAAAGATGCTATGCCGTGTCAGTGCTGCACGAATTGAACGATGGCTGCGTGCTCACATGGCTTCCATAAAGTTCTTCTGCTATTTCACCGGGCGACTTGCTCGCATCTTTGGCATACACTGAGCTCACAGACAAGTCTGAGTAGCACAGCTGCTCGATCTTGCTGCGATCTTTAGCGTGCTCTGAGTCCTTGCTGAACATCGGAAAAATAAGATAAAGCCAAGCTTTCCTGGAATCTTGGCTTTTGAGCTTGGCAGTACTCTAAGAGTGAGAAGCGGGAGATGAATGAGAAAATAAAGCAAACCACTCATGCCACTGTTCCTTGATGTCAATACGAGGTCTGGGCGAACGTAGAAACTCAGACTATTCCATGACGTAGTAGCATACGTACGTTTCAGCCTTCGCCTTGCTTTAGCTGACCTAAAGCCAGCCAGCGCTTTCAGGGCCTGAATTCCGATCGTTCCGACTTAAGTTCCATTTGACTGCTTTACGAGAGACAGGGAGGGTCCTTCAAATCCTTCGGCACAGAATCGAGGTCAGGCATTTCTTGCTTTAAAGCCTTTATTATAATCTCGTCAAAGACCTTGGCTTGCAGTTCTCATTTTCGGCAACTGTCAGCAGTGGCGCTGGCCTGTAGCAGCGAGTCAGTGATGCATCCAGACCGAACCGCTGACAGGACGAAATACGTACTCTTTAACAGTATCCGCAGTCCAGAATCTGGCATGCCCTCTATCTTTGAGATCTGTGCGAGAGATATACGTGCGAAAGCCTTCATCTGCCGTCTTCATGGTTGTGGTTTTGAAGCAAAATGGAATGATTGCCGTGCACCACTGATAATAGCTTCGGATGAGGTTTGACGCACTAGCTGCTGGACATACGGCGACAATATCAATAGCTGGTGGTTCGCCCTTGTTCGTCCTACGACTTTGACCGGTCCAGTTTGAGCGTATTACAAAAAGGGACTCAAAATGTAGTATTGTTCATATGGATTAAAGCCTTGAGGTCTGCTCATGTCTTGAAAGCTGACACTGTGCCTCTGCACTGATCCACGTAGTCTTTGATGATGAAGTAGTGGTTCCCGCTGTTGGTCGGCTCCAGCACATAGCCAGGCTCCTTCACAAACAGGTCGGCCCACTTCACCCGGAAGACGAATGGGGATTTGTACTGGCATGCAGGGTTAGAGAAATGTGCAAGATAGGCCCAGCTTTCAGCGATGTGTTCGGAGCTATACGAAGCGTACATTCGCTATTGACGGGTGCTGGTCAAGAGCGCGACAAGGGAAGCGGAGCATTCTTAACAAGGCTTACCCGACCGGGATTCGTTTGTCGCAAAGCGGCAAACTGTCGTTGGTGGTAGCCAATGCTCCCAATCAAAATCACCTGCGTGACCAGCCAATGATCAGTACAATCAAGAAGGCAGACACTCATATTCCTGTTAGCGTGTCATGTGTTACTGCGAGCGTTGCGTGCTGCCGAGCAGATTCTGAAGCGCCTGGAAGTCCATCCCGTCCGGAAGGGGTGATTCGAACGCATTGCAAATCATCATTATTTGTACCAAAAAAGCCAAGTGATCGGCCTACGAACCTCTGTCCTTGAACTCCGTGTTCGTTTAATCTTCGCAGCATTTCAATAAGAGGACTCCTAATCCAAAGGCGCATGCTTGAACAGGAATGAGACCGATTCGCCATTATGTGTTCGCCGTATGGCCTCCGCAAGTGTGGGACTGATATCGATGGTCGCGATCTTGTCACATTGCTTCTTCTTCTCCTCGTGGGGTACTGTATTCGTGATGACGAGAGTCTTGAGAGCCTTGCTGTTGTTCAGCTTTTCGATCGCGTTTCCGCTCAGAATGCCATGCGTGACGATCGCAATGGCCTCTTTTGCGCCATGCTCCAGCACCACGTCGGCAGCTTTGACAAGGGTGCCGCACGTGTCGGCCATATCGTCCACAATAATGGCAACCTTGCCCCTCACATCACCAACCAGCGTCATTCGGGATACTTCGTTTGGTCGTGAGCGTTCCTTGTGTATGAGTGCGAATTGGAGGTCGAGACCGTCTGCAATGCTTGTAGCTCTTTTTGCACCACCAGCGTCAGGAGAGACGATAACACAGTCCGGCACATTGAGGTTGTCCTTAATCCACCGCAACGTCGACGGCTCGGCATAGAGGTTGTCGACAGGCACGTTAAAAAATCCTTGGATCTGTGAAGCGTGCAGATCCATTGTGATGACGTGGTTGCAGCCTGCCGTCTGGAGCATGTTGGCCATGAGTTTGGCAGTGATAGGAGCTCTACTCTTATCCTTCTTGTCTTGTCTGGCGTACGGAAAGTTGGGTAGGACAGCAGTTATTCGGCGAGCAGAGGCGGTGCGGCAGGCGTTGATGAGGATGAGAAGCTCCATGATGTGATCGTTGATGTTGCCTGGCTCGGTCGACTGGAGAATGAATACTGCGCTGTGTCAGTGGTCAACCATCAACCATCCTTGGGGTGTTGCGTCTGCCCACCATCTTCGTCTCTGACACTCTCTCCTATAGATATGCTCGACTCGTTGTTCGAATATTGGAGCACCATAATCTTCGCAAGCTCAATACCCAGTCTGCTCCCGCATCAGTCATCTACGCGGTCGCGCCAGTCGAATTTCCTCACCTGTCGGCGACCAGCTTCGCCAGACTGCCGTGGCTATTCCCCGTAAGGAGTTTGATACTGTTGGTTGCCATGATCGCGTAACTCTAGCGACACGGATGATATTGCTATGGGCCGATTTAGAAGATGTGAGTTGGTCATGGTGAAGTAGAATATATAAAGGCACTCACGATCTAAAATGTTGAAGCTCGGGTGTTCCTGACCACTGACCAGCTTCAAGCTTCGAGCGGGCCGCGACCGCGACACAGCTACTGTAGGAAAAACTCGGTATCGACAGCAAAGTCAGCTTGATCGAGCCAATAATGGAGTAAGGATCTGTAATGACTCAAAGGGAACATGAACTGTAGCCACAGAGATTCCGCGGATGTGAAGCAGAGCAGAATAACCAACAAAATCGTCTACCTGGTCAAGAGTATGTCTCAGAATGCAGACCACGCAGAGATGTGATAGTCGGTGGGACATTTTGAGAATATTTAATGTCTGCCTGAGAAGTTGCTTCAACGAAGGGAGAGAAAAATCATAATAGGGAGAACGTCTGCCGCTTGATGCATTCGAAGCCGCTGCTTGCAGCTCTGGGGATATCGAAGACTATTCAATGCTAACGCCGTCCTGACCCTGTCACGCTGAATGGTGCACCGGCGATATTGATCCCCATCATCACGAAGTCTTCATGCTTCGCTCGTAGACCATAACATAACCCTTCCCATTGCGCCTTTTTCGCAGAATGATGCGCCTATTGCTTACTTGCGCATGCTGGAAGCGCGGCGCTTCTTGATATCTGCAGCCTTGGCCTTCTCCTCAGCAACACGCTTGTGGAGGATCTGGGCGTACTCGTTCTGAGTGACTGGTTAGTGGCTGCTCTGCCATTCTCCTCGAGATTGCGGGACTTACGGCAGCATCCTTGGCGGCCTCTGCACGGCGGCGCTTGAGTGCGATGCGATGGCGCTTGTGCTGGAGACGCTGAGGAGTGACCAGACGCTGGATGCGAGGAGCCTTGGTGTATGGCTTGGCACCCTCCTTGCCCTCCTTTGGCTGCACCTCACGACGGATGACGAACTTGCGGACCTACAATATCACGTATCAGCAACTGATGCTGTCTCAGATCTGATCACTAGCCTTGCGGCGTGTGATCTCTCAACCACTGGCCATGAGGCGTATGTGGTTGGCGAAGAGGAAATAGAGCCTCCTGGAGAGAGCACTCACATCGTCTTCCTTGCTGAGACCGAAGAAGCGGCGAATCTTGGTCGCGCGCTTTGGACCCAAGCGCTTGGGGTGTACGGTATCCGTGAGGCCTGGAATGTCTGCGTCACCCTGCTTCACGATGGAGAGGGCGAGGACCGACAAGTCCATAGCGACGATGCAGCCACGAACAGACTTTCTCTTGCGCTCACCGGTGCGGCGTGGACGGTAGCAGGAGTGGCCATCGGCGAGGAGGAGGCGGACACGAGTTGGATGCATGACACCCTGCTTCATTGGGAAGCCCTGTTTGTCGTTGCCGCCGGTGATTCTGAAGATGTATCCCTTGAACTCGTCGCCCACACTGTCGCCAGGCACTTCTTGGCCCATACGGCGGTCCATGAAGACACGGAGCTTGCGCTCATCTTCGATTTCGATCAGCTTCTGCGAGCCGTTGGCCGGGTAGGAGATGTTGAGCTTCATCTTGACGGGATCCGGTCAAGATTGTGCTGCTGTTGGGTTAGTCGGCGGCGTTGTCGAGCGAGCGTGGGCGGAGAGAGAAATCCAGGAAGCCAGCAATGGAGGTGCAATTCTGGTGTGCGCGCTAAGCGAAGCTTAGACGATTTTGGCCTCAGGCGTCAACAGACGGGTACATCCGCTCTATCCATCTCTACATGTATCAACATGAAGCCTCCTTGTGTTTTCCATCACGCCTGCCACCTGAGCATCGTTATGCTCATATTCGAGAACTTGTATTTGCCTTGACCCCTCCACTCCATCTCGTCAATGCCGATGCTTTGATCATCCTTCGTGTTGATGGCATCCCACTGCGACCCTGTGATTGTGTACACCTTCACGCTGCTGCCCACGCCGTCCAAGGCCACCTCGAAACTCTCCGTCAGATGCACATTGACCACGACGAGGCTGACCCAGCGATGCTCGTTGATGGTCGCCGATACGTCCAGCCACGGCGTGTCCACTGCGGCCTGCAGCCATTTTGGAGAAGTCTCGCCATCGTACGTTCCGCAGCTAACGTGAGTTGCAATAGTGTAGCCTCGCATGTACTTGCAAAACAGGAGGAGAGGCCACCAGGTCGTCTGCTTTACCACACCGTCTTCGTTTGTCATCAAAGGCGATATCACATTCACGCTTTGTGCAATGTTCGCCATTCCAACGTACTTGCTCTGCCGGATAAAGACGTTCAGCCATACTGCTACTGCAAGCGCGTCCGATAAGGTGTACTTCTCCTCTGCGCCCTTATCCCCTGGAGCTCTTTGCGGATCCCAGACGTTCCACTCATCAAAACAAATTGTTTGACGCGGCACAGACGCTGGGACTCCGTTCTGTATCCTGGCCAGATCGATGAGTCCGGACGCTATTTCAATTGCTCTTTCTGCACTTCTCGGTGCCAGTGCATTCTTTACTGGATCTTCGCTGGCTGTATAGATGTGTATACTGTGCATGTCTATCAAGCTGGCAGCAACATTGCCGGCTCCCAGGGCGTGATGGTCCCAGCTGACGCACTCTTTCAGGACGTGGAAATCCCATTCGGAATGTCCTGTCTCTCCACACAAGATGAGAGTGATTGATGGATCGATCAATTTGAGAGCTTTTGCCCACTGATACGCTTTCTTTGCGTAGTCCTCCTTGCTCATTTGCTCGACTTGCCACGGGCCCCAACATTCATTGCCGAGGGCCCAGTATTTGACGTTGTACGGCGTATCACGCCCATTTTGCCGGCGAAGATTGGCATAATACGTGTCCTGGGAAGAATTACAATATTCGAGCCAGGCGAGAGCTTCATCAAGGGTTCCTGCAGAGAGTCAACACAACGTTCCCTAACTTCAGTGCAGCTGCTGCACCTGTCCCGAAATTCAGAGCAAGGTAAGGCTCTGTTCCTACCACTTCGCACCACTTCATAAATTCATCGGTGCCAAACTGGTTGCTCTCAACTCCAAGCCAAGCCAGTTCAGGCCTTCTTGGTCTCTTTCCCCTGGGACCGACGCCATCCAACCACTACCAACGAACTCGAGTTGTCAGCGCAAACCCCCGAAAAATGCTCTCCGCCGTCGCAGACGTACATGATAGGTCGCAACAAAATTACCGCCAGGATAGCGCACCACAGGCACATTCAGCTCTTTCATGGCTGCGATAACGTCTTTGCGGAAGCCCTGGTCGTCGATGAGCTGCTTGTTCGGATTTTCTGGGTCATATAGCCCGCCATATATACAGCGGCCCATATGCTCTGTGAATCCGCCGTATATGTTATCATTGACTTTTGACAGCTTGTGCTTGGGGAACACCGCAATTGAGGCTTCCTCGCCGGACGCGAGCTTCGTGAACGTTGTCATGGCGCAGGAGATCGAGAACAAAAAATTCAAGGGCTTCAATGGTAGCAATGGTAGCAATAACCAGAGCTGATTCTTACTACTGGAGGGATTTCGCCGCAGCCTTCCAACTCGACAAGTGCCGCTCCAGTCGCTAATTAAGCCGCCAAGATCCTAGTGTATATAGTCAAGCGTCGAAGGATCCTGCACAACTCATCGTCCGTGGAACACCCCAAAGGGCTATATTGACTTATTTCAGTCCAACGTATTTACGCGTTTACGCGTCCTAACCGCGACGTTCTAGCCGCGACGATAGGTTACTACCGACCAATCCGCTACCGACCGAGCGACAGCGAGCGAGCTACGACTACGACTAGCGAGCGAGCCACGACTACGACCAGCGAGCGCAGCTTTCCTGTACGGTCTAGATAGAAGCCCACATTGGGAGTCTGAAGGATGCCTGCTAATGATCTTGGTTCGATGTCCAGCGTACAGCGACGTTTCCTTGGGCAGGACGACTTGGCGACTTTGCTGCACACACTTGAATGGTGGAAGAACTCAATACCCCGGCCCTTATCGTCCCGAGCCGAAACTCAGGATGCGCTTCCTCCCCGCCCTCCCCATGGGGACTCCAGAAACCAACAGCGGCAGTTCGCTTGTCTTTGTGAAGGTATACAAGAAGCTGGAACTGCTCTCCTCAGCGCAAGCTTGGCCAATGTCGTGGCGCCATCCTATATGGAGGCCCTCCTTCCGCATTGCAACAGAACGCCACATGATCTTCCTTCCTCCGCTTGTTCGGCAATGTCCTAGCATAAAGGAAGGACGATTCATAGCTGTACATGATCGGATGTGTGTTCCTTCAAAAGTTCGTACTGACCATTCAATTGAGGATCGCCGCCATTTCAGCGCACCGCAAAAATGAGGCTTCCGCCAAAATGGTACCAATTTTTGGTGTCTGTCTTCGCGTCGTTGGGATCTGTTCTCTATGGTATTTCTGATCAAGAGTGCATCAAAGGAGATGGGAATGCTCATACGAGGCAGGCTATGATCTCGGTGTCATCGCTGGTGCGGTGGCGAGCGACAACTTTGTCAGCACATTCACTCCAACATCCGCGGAAACAGGAGCGGTGGTCTCAGTGTTCACCGGAGGAGCTTTCTTCGGTGCATTCTTCGCAGGTCCTTCTGGCGATTACCTGGGTCGGAAGAAGACAATCCTTCTCGGTGCGCTTGTCTTCATCCTCGGAGGTGCTTTGCAGACAGGAGCACAGTCGTTGGCCTATCTGTATGCTGGCCGCCTTATTGCTGGCGCTGGTGTTGGAGTTCTGGTCATGATAATTCCACTTTACCAGGCTGAACTAGCACATCCGGATATCAGAGGTCGTGTGACTGCACTTCAGCAATTCATGCTGGGAGTAGGAGCTCTAGTTGCGAGTTGGGTCTCATATGCCACATACACATACATCCCGGCATCCTCCAGCAATCAATGGCGGGTATCTCTTGGTATCCAGATCGTTCCTGCTGGGTTCCTCGCAATGCTAATTATGCTGTTCCCGGAGTCGCCAAGGTAAGCGAAACTCCGCAGCGTACATTGCTTTGACTTCCACTAACATCGATGTCTCCAGATGGCTCATCGATCACGGCAAGAATGAGTTGGGCCTAGCCACATTGGCTAAACTTCACGCGCACGGCGATCAGAATGATGCTTGGGTACGAGCCGAATATGACCAAATCCAGGACATGATTACCTTCGAGCATGAACACGAAGCCAAATCGTACATTGAGCTGTTCTCTAATAAATCATGTTTCCGCCGACTCTTGCTGGCATGCTCCATCCAAGCTTCGGTCCAGATGACCGGTGTCTCTGCGATTCAGTACTATTCCCCCGCGGTAAGAGTTCATACGAATCACCTCGTGCTGCACATTTGAGCTGACCACGCAAACAGATCTTCAAGCAGATTGGCATTCCGGGCTCCGACACTCTCAAATACCAGGTAAGAGAGCCAAGATTGTAGCGCAACCCATTTCCGTGGCATGTGCTAACCGTCGGGTCATCAATTCGCAGGGCATCAGCAACATTATCGCTTTGATTGCCCAATTTTGCTGCATTATGCTCATCGACTATACTGGACGACGGTGGGCAATGATAGGCGGGAATCTGGGAAACATGGTGACTTTTATCATTGCAACAATCCTGCTGGCGAAGTTCCCACCAGGAGCGACAAACAACGATGCTGCATCCTGGGCCTTCATCGTCATTACTTGGCTCTACAACTTCTCCTTTTCAGCGACTAGTGGTCCTTTGTCCTGGATTGTCCCTGCGGAAATCTTTGACACCAGGACTAGATCCAAAGGTGTTTCCATCGCTACAATGACATCTTTCGCGTTCAATACCATGATCGGACAGGTTACGCCTATAGCTTTGGAGAACACTGGCTGGAGGTTCTACGTTGTCTTTGTGGTCTGCAATTTCACCAACGCTATCTGGTTCTGGATGATCCAGCCAGAAACGAAGAAGCGGCCACTGGAGGAAATGACTTACTTGTTCACGAATGCACCTTGGTTCGTTCCAGGAATGAACATGAAGGATTATGAGAACCATGACCTCGAGCACAGAATTGAAGAAGTGCAAAGAAAAGGCAGCACTGTGAGTCAAGTTGAGGTGGGGGATAAGTATTGAGGATGGAAATGAGACGCGCGCTATCGGCATCTGGACGCCAATTGCCCATCCTCAGCAGATTTCGACAAACCTTTTTTTCATAGTACCGTTCTCTTCGGGGCCTTAAACTCGTGAAGCACCTCCACCAGCATTCACAACTCTTGAGGTCGTTCAGGATTATGAGTAACGACCTCTAGCTCCACTCTCATGTCTTCTTCACCCAACCTCGTTACACCAACGCAAGTCCATATTGGCTGAAGGTCTGGCATCCACTTCTTAAAGTTCCGGACCATGGCAGCACTGGCCTCGTCATGAATTGGCACATGATCTGAGAGCGGTAGAGTGAGTCGTTGTCCTGAAATTGTGACATCGCGGCCATACGTGCCTATTTCCGATCTTCTTCAGTTAAGATCTCCTTCGGACGAATGCTGTCTGTCTGGTGTCTAGCAGGCAACAGGTTGATGACTAGAATGAAAAAAAAAACAACGCATCCTCGATCTTCTGGTTTCAGAAGAACGAGCTTACTCTAAACAATCCGACATCAGCCACAGGATATGTATACACCCAGATTTCGACCAATCTCGATATTGAGATCACTGCAAGCGACTTCGATTCTTTTCCGACCAAGGTCCGCCCAAAACATGAGCTTCACGGCTGTCCAGCAGAGGTCTACCTCCCCGGGCCTCCTCAATGAGTATAAGCAATAGAAAGCAATAGGAGCGGGAGGAGTCTCGTTTGATTAGACTAGCTTTCTGTTCTACAAAAGTGTCGAGAAGACGATTTCTCGGTCGGATACTACGAATTTCGAACTCTACAATTCACCGCAACAAGAAGCTCCTAGTTAGAAGCATACGGTAGTAGCCTAGAGAAAGTTCTTAAAGGAGCGTGAAAGTGCTAGAGTTAGAGCAGTAGCACTAAAAGTTTTGTATTCCTATAGCGTGAAAGGCTAGAAGATTATCTATAGTCACAGCATGTTAGAGACGGCATTTAACAAGCTAATAGAGAAATTTAGACACGGAATAGGCGACCTCTCGGTACCGCTCTTTTTACAAAAGAATCCCCCCTCTTACGGTGCCTTCTTAAGAGGAGATTTTTTTTTTATATAATTACGGCACTAATTTAAGCGGACACATTACCTTATAGTACTCTTAGCTTTCCTAACGGCTATAAGAAGTAATCGAGCGAGGCTAGGGCGAAATAAGTAGAACTAACTAACCGCCTTTATCTACGCTATACTATAGTCTTTGTGCCGAATTATATGCGTAAAATTAGAAGTATTAGACAAGATTCTTTAGGCCGGCGGGCATAGTTGTTAATTACTAATTACTCTATAATTAATAGTTACTGTAATCGCTATAACTATAATTATAATTATAGAGTTAGTAATTAGTAACTATAATTAGTAATTAGTCGGCTGTTTCTAGGCTATACTAGGGTATGTGTTACACCTATAGAAGGTATTAAATTTGCACTATTTCTACCTGTTTCTATAGACAATAATATATCCGTAATAGGCGACTTTTATCGAGAGGTAAGTAAATCGAATATAGGTATAGGAAGTCGCTAATTTAGACAGGTTGCCGAGTTACTAGTGCCTTCTTAAGAGGAAGAGCTATTATTATCGCTATCGCTATTATAGACCTCTAACCTATTAACTATAGCCTTCTTAGCAACGTAGAGCTATTACCTATAGTTATTACTAAAGGATATACTAGCTACCTATCTAACTCTTAGCTAAACCGACTATTGTATTACTCCTGCTTAGCTCTACTTCTAATAAGCCGGTATACTATCCTTTATCGACGAAGTAGTATAGAATAACTTCGAGTAGTATATCGGAGAGGCGGAAAAGGAAGGCTTATAGTTACTATATCGGAGGGTTACGAGGAAGACGACAAAGAGCCTTCGGTATGCTTAGGAGATCGTTAAAAGGGCTAGTAACTACTAAGAGCGTATTACTAATAGCCTTTAGAAGGTATATAAAGGTATAGAACGGAAGAGTAGGCAGATAGCACTAGGCTCTCGTCGTTACTTCAAATTCGGAAGGAGGTATATCTGCTCTAAAGAGTGCTTTCTCGGGCTAAAATCGTAGTGTCCGCTACGACAGATATATTTTAAGGCTCGTATCGATAAGGTGCTATACTATATAATTAATAGCGAGGGTACTAAGGGCGACAATAAGGTTATTATTATTAATTAGGTATAGAATTAGTCGAAGAATAGTATTCGAGCTTGCTATCGCGCCTATAAAGATTGCGTTATATTAGCCCTTAGGGTCTAGCTAAGCCTAATCGGAAAGCGTCGCTTAGTATAGACGGCAAGGTCCGTACGGCTTAGCCGTACGCTAGCAAACTCAAATCTCGACTTTTATTATTTAATTCAAGATAGCTATACCTTCGAGATGCGAGATAACCTCCGTAAAACACATAAACTAACTTAGAAAGTGCTAGAAAATTATATAAATACCTAGGCATCGAGACGGGAAAGCGACCTACTAGATCGGATACTATTCCGTAAAGATTCGAGCGATCTAAGCGACATTCTAACCTCCGAAGCTAATAAGCCGCTGTCTCTAACACTAGACGATAGCTTATTCCTTTAGTCTACCTCGTAGTCCTCGAATATAGTATAATCGATAGCGATAGCGATACCGATAGCGATACTCGCCGAGTTAAGAAAGAGAAGGAAAGGTAGGAACCGCCTAGATCCGGCGTTATAGAAGCATACGAGAGCACTAAAGGATAGTAAGCCTTTAAAAGTAGATAGAGGCAGGTATAAGGCATTCTACTATAGATACTATAACGACAACGACCCTAACCGGTACGCCTCTAATTCTAGTAACGCGCCTTAGCACCTAGCTAAGAAGTACTTTATCTTTATCGGCATTAAGAAACGGAAGCTCGAAGGCAATTATTAATAGAAGAAACAGATACAGATTGACCTCTCGGCGCTATAGAAAAAGCAAGGCGTTATTAACTCGGACAAGACTATTAATATCCTATAAGGAGCCGCCGATAAGGACAAGTTTAGGTACGCTCTCGCTCGCTATACTACGGCTAGCAGCATTCCTTATAACGCACTAGTTACGAAGGAATTTAGAGACCTAATATTAGCGGTTAATCCTTACGCAGAAAGCGTGCTTCTAAAGAGCTATACCTTACTATATCCTCGTATTCTATATAACTTCGAGAGCTAGCGAGAACGAGTTAAGATAGTACTATTAGAAGCACTTAGCTGTCTTTACTTCTATACTAATATATAGAAGTTATAGTACAGCTACAAGTTCTTCTAGGCGATTAATTGCTAGTACATTAATCTACGTAGTTAACTAGTCTAAATACTGCTAGATTTGCTACAACTTCCGCCTAGTTCTTATACTAGTAACTTCCTTGCCGAGAGCGTCTTGCCTTACTTCTTAACCTTCGAGATTGCTAATAGTAGGCTTAGCTAGATAACGACTAATAGCGGCTCTAACAATAACACCCTTTGTCTTACTATTAAGCGCTTTATAGACTCGCAAGGCTACTCGTAGAAGAACCGCCGCCTTCGCTATATTAGTTACATTCTTAATCGTGTAACTATAGCCTTTATATTTGCTAAGGACGTAGAGGCCGCTAAAAGTGAGGAATTTGATTAAACAGTGCTTAGCAACGATAGCGACAATATCTCTATATCGAGGTAGCTCGATATAGACGTAGAGTGCTTCGTTAAATAAGGACTATTATAACGGCTATTTATACTCGCTAAGCTTCTACGGAAGAACGACTATAACAACATCTTCTAAGAGGTCTATAAAGCCTAGCTACAACTGCTATATATAGTACTAAAGATCCCCGGTAAAATACGCTAGAATAGTTGGCTTCTAATAATAGAAGAGGCTATTTAAACAAGGCCGATTTTAAACACCTTCTTCGATAGAATGCCGTACCTACGCGAGTTTAGCCTATCCGAGGACGATTAGAAGGTGCTAGCTTATATACGGAGGTTTCTTAGTCCCTTCAAAGAGGTTACTCTTCGGCTATAAGGCTATACTATTATATTCGATATATATTAAGAGTCTATAGAATACCTAAGAAGCCACTTTATACGCTTAGCTAGCGAGAACGCTTACCGGACGGTCCTTATTAGGTCTATTAATATAGTAAGGACGCTGTTCGACAAGTACTATATTCTTAACTAAAAGAGCCCTCTCTACGTTACTGTAGTATTGCTATATCTAAGCCGACGACTTGCCTAGCTTAGAGGCCGCTCTGTAGTAGACATAGACACTACCTTGTTATAGTCTATAGCGCTTTAGAAGGACTATAAGATACGCTTCGGAAATAGCCGTTAACTACTAGCTACGCTATAGCGCTTATTTAAAGGACTATCGGACCTCGAGCGCTAGTAAATTAAGTCTTAAACTAACCTAGTTGCTACTAATAATAACCCCTTCGAAGCCTTTATTTATACTAGTCTAATAGTACTACTACTAGTTAGCGAGAAGCCTATTCTTATAAGCCCTATCGACTAGTAGGTTTAATAGCGGAAGACCTACGATCTAGCACTATAGTAACTAGCTATTAATATATTATTAGCCTTCGCTATATCCGCTAAGTTAGAGAGGACCTTTAGTATAAGCCGCCGCACTACTAGATAGGACCGTATACATATAAGTAGCGACTATACTTATATAAATAAGTGTTAGGACTAAAGAGGTTATACGTAATTAGTATGTAACTAGGCTCGAGTGAAGCTAGGGTCTTAATGCCTTAGGCAGGGCTTGGCGCTTAGCGTTAGGCTAACTTGCCTATCTTCCTCCCTCTCCTCTTAGCTCTCTATCGAATACTATACTAATTTACTACTACCCTATCTACCTGCTAACACAACCCTTTTTATATAGTATTCGATCTACCCTTTAAGGGCAGTAGCTAGATAGTCCTTATTTTAAGCTTTTAGCGGTATAGCTACGAAAACCGTTAATCTAACTATATTACGCCCGAGGCGGGATCTATACGCACTATTCTATTAGAATAACCGTACCAATTATCAAGCAAGGCCTTCTATACGGCCTATTATACTAAGTTAATCGTACTAGTAAAGGACGGAAACTAATACTACTACTACTACTTGTAGTAATAGTATAGGCTACCGAGGGTAATATAACCTATAGCAATATAGATAGCTATGTTTAGCAAGATAGGATAACGAGACTGTCGCTTAGGCTAATAACTAGAGCCCTGCAATATAGGCATTATAGAAGTGTAATATAAACAATGTGCTATACGAGGTTAATGCTCTATCTATAATATAGAAGGAGGCCTCTTATATAGGCTTAAAACTAGCCTATAGGTGTAGGGCCGGTTACTAGCTAATATCCCTCCCTTTCTTCGTATCTAACTAGATACGCTTCACATTGCGCGCTTAAAACAAACATGTATGTATCCTTAGCGTTCTTAGCTAAGGCCTTTTTTAGAACTCCGCAATAACACCCCCGGGGTAGTATTAATCCTAGATACTATAATTATGCAAAAACAACTTCCTAAGCAACACTATACAGACCTACTATTGCTTTAACGCGCCGTAATCCTTACTAGCAATAACCTTATCTACTAGTCGGTTCTCGAAATCTCCTCCGTATACGTTAAAGCTATTAGCACCGAAGTACTGTCCCTCGTAGAAAGCTTAATTAACGAGGAGATTAGTAGCCTTTTC